CTTATATATCTCTGGTTGTCCCAGAGCTCCGCTGGGTCCTAGCAACATCACTGCATTGCCTGACCAAGCATTAAATCATCAGGTCAAGTATCCACCAGAATGGCCCCCTAGACCCTCCTGAGCACTGCTGAGGAGCCAACCCCTTCTTCAATAGAAATGTTTCTTGGCTGGATTCCCAGTCTCTGTTGTACAGTCTCTGAGGCATACTGTGCTGGGAGAGAAAGGAAATGAGACCTTGTATAATCTCCGGGCGGCTAGGGGAAGCCCCAGCAGCTCTCCCTCTCACTGCCCAGGTTTGGTGGACTCTGGCCGCTCCCCATCCTGGGGCGGCCCAGGCCATGGGACAGTTTCCGTTTATTCGATTCTCCCCATGCACCTGTTTTAATCTCACTAAGCTCCCCATTCTAGTCTCAAACTGTCTCTCGTTCCCATCACCTCCAGTCTCTCCCACTCATCTCTCTGTCCTCTCCTGCAACTGCGTGTCTCTCGTCTCTCCGTGCGCCTGCTTCTGCATTCTTCCACCACATTCTTCTCCCTCTGTCTCCCTTGCTAGTCTCTCCATGCTCCATCTTGCTGCCCTGGTCCTCTCGTCTCTCTCCAACCCCCCATATTGGGGATAGTAACAATACCCCATCCTGTCCAGCAGCAAAATCAACATAAGAAAGCCCTTTCTGATGATTAGTGATGTAGAGCATTTTCTCATGTGCCTTTTAGCCATTTGGGAGAAAGGGACTCTCCTTCACTGCTGGTGGGAATGCCGACTGGTTCAGACCTTTCGGAAAACAGTATGGACGATTCTCAAAAAAATTAGAAATTGAGCTCCCATTTGACCCAGCAATACCACTCTTGGGAATATATCCCGGAGAGGCAAAAAATATATAGTCGAAATGACATCTGCATATCTATGTTCATTGCACATTCTATGTTCACAATAGCCAAAATCTGGAAAAAACCCATGTCCGATAACAGATGACTGGTTAAATCTACACAATGGAATACTATGCAGCTGTTAGAAAAGATGAAGTCATGAAATTTACGTACAAGTGGTACTACATGGAAAGTATCCCCTATGTTCCCTGGAGCACCACCAGGAGTGTTTTCCTGAATGCAGAGCTAGAAGTAACCCCTGAGCATCACCAGGTGTGCCCCAAAAACAAAATAATAAAATTACCATCTAATAATTGTGGAACTTTGGACAAGTCAGTTTTTCTGTCTTAATCTCTATTTCTTAAATTGAAAAAAATAATAATCATGCCTTTTCACTCAGTGTTTAAATCAAATGACAATGGAGTTGCAAGGGTTTTCGAATTGTTTGATGCCATGTATAGACAACTATCAGCCGTCTCAGGCAGGAACTGAGAAGGAAGCCCTGATGTGCCAGACTTAAGAGAAGGGATGGGGTCAGAGTGATAGTACAGTGGATAGGACGTTTGTCTTGCAGGCAGGGTTCAATCCCCAGCATCCCATATGGTCCCCCGAGCAGCACCAGGATTAATTCCTGAGTGCAAAGCCAGAAGTAACTCCTGAACGTTGCTGGGTGTGACCCAAAAAGAAAAAAAGGGGGGGGGGGAGGGAACCCCAGAATCAGGCTGATCTAGGTTTAACAGGAATTCTGCTATTTATTAGCCTTTTGTCCTTGGCAGTTGTCTTACTCAGTGACCTCTTTAAAGGGAGATAAAATTTTCTCATGGGGAGGCCAGAGAGTATACCTTGCATGTGGTCAAAACTGGCATAATCCCTGTCACTAAGTCTCCCAAGCCCCAATGGATATAGCCCAACTCCTTCCCTCCCCCAAATTTCTCACAGAGCATCAGGAGATGGCTTAAAGAGCTGGACTGCCTTTTTTGCATGTGGGGATCCTAGGATTGATCTCCAGCACATGACCCACCCAAGGACAGCTGCAAGTGACCCTAAAGTGATTTTCTCGTAGTGTTAATATGAGGACTAAATAACCTAATACATATAAAAGCAAACGGGACAGTAGGAGTAGTAAATTTCAATAAATGGTCATTTGTATAATGATTATGATGGTCATTAGTAGAAAGTTAGTTTATCTCAGTGATTCTTAAACTAAAGAGATATAGTTAGGGTACATAATAATGGAATAATCCATTTTAGTCTACATCTCTTGTTTTCTTAAAATTAGTCTAAACTGTATGTTTTTAAGAGCCATCAGAGAAGTTATCTGTATGTAGCACTGCATTGTAGCACTGTCCTCCCGTTGTTCATGGATTTGCTTGAGCAAGACCAATAACGTCTCCATTGTGAGACTTGTTACTGTGTTTGGCATATTGAATACGTCACGAGTAACTTGCCAGGCTTTGGCGTGAGGACGCAATACTCTCGGTAGCTTTTTGAGCTTTCTGAGAGGGACGAAGGAATTGAACCCGGCTTGGCTGGGTAGGCCGCATGCAAGGCAAACGCCCTACCTGCTGTGCTATCACTCCAGCCCATTCTGTATGTATCCTCTGTAAATTGACATTAAGTAAAAAGTAAAGTAAAGGCCCTACCGTTGATCATCGATTTGCTCGAGCGGGCCCAGTAACATCTCCATTGGAGACTTTGTTGTTACTGTGTCTGGCATATCGAATACTCTCGGTAGCTTGCCAGGCTCTCCGAGAGGGGCGGAGGAATCAAACTCGGGTCGGCCATGTTGGTTGCCTGCAAGGCAGACACCCTACCCGCTGTGCTATCGTTGACATTATATCAACATTTCTGGGAAAACTTATTTATGACATTTCTCTCTACTTCCTCATATCCTTGGGGAAATTTGATTAAAAGATTCAATTGTGCTGTATATCTGCCTTCTTGACCATAAACTAATCTGATGATCTAAATGGAGATTAATAAAGGAAACAAGTTTTCATACCTCTGCTTTAACAGCACAGCTAAAGATTTAATTCCCATAAAGTTTCTTTGTTGAACAAGTTCCTTTAGTCTTGCCTTGCTGATTCTCACCTGTGCCAAGTTGAACAGTGACCTCTGAAGCAAATAGCACCCTAGCCCTCCACTCCCACCCCAGGGTCAACTAAGGAGTTGACTCTTATCATTATTTCCCTTTCTGAGTCTCTGCAGAAGCGCTTTTACTGTAATTCCCTTTCCTTTGGGAACCTACTTCCTTCAACTTGAGCCTCAGGGGAAATCCCAACTGGAGGACCAGGCCTGAAAACTGCCCTTGGCACAAAGCTGACATCCGGGATAACTGCTTTGTTATTAGACATAGCAACATGCTATAACACAATTAAGATATTAACAGCCCATACTAGCACCCAACATGAATTCTGAAATTCATTTCTTCAGAGAAGTAATTTGCCTGCAGTTATTGTTTAGAAAGCCCTTTATGGTACTAGTTTTGGTTCCAGCACCACCACGCCCCTCCTCCAGACTGCCCCTCAAGATCTCCACCCCAGCGGTTGACTTTAATAGCAGGGAGAGGAGAGAGAGAGAGAGAGAAAGAAAGACAGAGAGAGGGGTGGGGGTTGGGGATGATGGCAGAGAAACTGGGGACACTGGTGCTGGGAAATATACACTGTGGAAGGATGGCTGTTGGAACACTGTATTACTGAAACCTAATCATGAACATCTTTGTAAGGGTATATGTAACATTGATTCAATTTTTAAAAATTCTTTAAAAATAAGGCGGGGATCTTGGAGCTGAAGCAATAGTACAGCAAGTAGGGTGCTTGCCTTGCATGCAGCTGATCCAGGTGGTTGGAACCCCACCACCCTATATGGTCCCCCAAGCCTTACCAGGAGTGATAGAGTGCAGAACTAGTAAAAAACCATGAGCACTGCCAGGTGTGGTCCCCAAAACACTAACAACAGTAATGAAATAAAAATGGGGATCTTGAAAGGCTTGAGTTTCCAGAAGTCAATTCAAGGGCAGCCTTAATTTAGCAGAAGGCCCTGCAAAAGGATGCCAGGGTCTTCCTGCTCTGAGGCTCAGGTTACCCTTTGGAAATAAGCTTCAATTGAAGGTCAGACAGTGGGTATCCTTAACCTCTATTTTATATTCACTTCTCAGATGATGCCAGTGCATGGAAAATAATTACAGAAACATTCTAGGGAACACATTCCCCCTCAGCCTTGGGGCTCAGTTTGTGGTCAGTTTGGAGAAATGCCCCTTTAAGGCGTCACTGAAGCAAACTGTTTCCTCCAGTGATCAGAGACGCAAAGATGAAATGAGAAGGCTTCAGAATAAAGCAATGGGGAAAGAGTGACAGGGCTGTGGCCTTTCGGCAAGTCTTTTTTCCAGAGCACAACAGGTTCTGTCTTGAGTCCCTCTGTCCTAATGCAGAACCTGGGCACCAACAAAGCTGATCAACAGAGCCTGTTTCCCCAGAAATAACTCCCAGGTTGGCTGGTGGCAAACTGTGTCTCCTCTCCCCACCCTGATGGAAGAACTAATGGAACCTGTTGCTCATGCCTGAACTTGCTTGTCTCGCACTTGCATTTATGAAAGTTTGAGAAGGGCTAACGTGGAATGTGAACCATAAAAAAGGGAGAGTCAACCTAGCAAAGGATCAAACTCATGTGACTCACAGGTGATGAGGAAAAGAATAAAGCTGTCTGTGAGTTCCCAGTAGCTGCACCCTCATGTCCTTGCTATCAGTAAAGGTATCACCTTGAACTTCCCAGAAATGTCTCAAGATGCAGGTAATCTAACATCCAAATTCCATAATGTAATGACACCTTTTTAATTTGAATCCTCCAACTCCCGGCCCACTCTATCAAGAAGCCACTTTCTCCTCCTCTGGACCTTTCCTTATCACTCCCTTTCCCCAGATCTGGACAAGACACCTAAAGTCATTAATCCATTCACAGCTCTTACAACTTGCCCTGCCATTGCAGACTTTGGCCACACACCTGCTTTCCAGAAAGAACTGGTACATCTGGGCATCAGAGCCTCCTTCTCCCAATCATGTGTGCCCCTCCACCCCACCTGCGTGTCTGTGCATCCCTCTCCCTTCTGACAGCAAAGAAGGCATGCGAAGCTTGGCTGTTTTTCCGCACTGGTTCTTTTATTAGACTTGTCTAGCAGGCTGTTTCCAGGCCCTCACATGCCTCAGACACCACCCCGTGGATTTAGGGAGGTGCCATCATTCTGTGAAGGCCCAGAGTTTGCCCCAGCTTTGGGAATCCGAGTTGCATCACCCATCAGAAAGTTGGAGGGAAAGGGGAAGGAAACGTGCCGACGGGAAGGGCAACATTCTAACGCACAGGAGACTGATGTGCAACCTGTGCTCCAGCAACGTCTCCTGAAGGCACGCTGAACGAGGAAGGTTCACGAGAGGCTGGATGGAGAGACCCGGGCGCTGAGCAGCTCTCTTCTATATGGCCACTTTGAGGAGGCGCTTGATGTCGGGCTCTATGTCGATGGTCTGGAAGGTGCGGCTGTAGCGGCGGAAGGGCTCCCCCTCTGGCCCGATAAGGAACTTCTCAAAGTTCCAGGCCACATCAGAGCGCCGCACAGGGCTCCAAATGATGAACTTGGGGTCGGTCATGAGGGAAAAGGGGTCGTCGTAGGGGTAGGGGAGCTTGTCCTTCAGGTAGGCGAAGACTGGATGCTCATTCTGACCGTTCACCTCACACTTCTGGGCAAGGGTAAAGGTGGGTTGGAATCCACCCCCTGGGCGTACGTACTTGAGACTGTTCAGGATCTCCTCATTCTGACAGTTCTCCTGGAGGAGCAAATAGACAAAGAACATGGGAAAGGGAACTGGGAGAGGACGGGTCCACAGCAGGCAAATCTCTCCCCCCTCCCCCCCTACACTCCCTTTCACAGATCATTCTCTCCCTCTCTCACCTTTTGGAATACAGTGTCACTACATCACATCCACCACCCCTGTGCCGAAACCCGCCAACCCAGGCAAACTTACTACAGTTCTATAGACAGATTCTCAGGTTCCTTTTTTTTTTGGCCATACCCAGTCATGCACAGATCTTACTCCAAGCTCTGCATTCAGGGATCACTCCCAGTGGACTTATGTGACCATATAGGGTGCTAGGGGTTGAGCCCAGGTCAGCCATGTGAAAGGCAAACACCCTACCCAACACTCTACCCACTCTATTATCTCCTTAGGATCTTCTTTGGTTGGCCTATGTTTATTCCTTCACTTTTTGTCTTTAGACTCCACATGTCAGAGATATCATTTGGTATTTGTCCTCTCTCTGACCCACTTTGCTTAGCAAATATCCTCCAAAAAGTTTCCCTTTCACAGCTTATTGTTGGATAGGTTTTGCTATGCTAGGTTGTATCTGTCTATTCTCTCAGTTTCTAGCTTGGCTATTAAAAGTCAGAAAGATTTAGCCTTTTTGAGCTATTGCTACTCTCTTCTGTCTACCCTGAACAGTCTCAGGATATCAGTCAGAAACTTGAGTTCCAGACAGTAGAGAGAAAGGAAAAGGAAGCACAGCCACCCTGCTGCTGTCATCATGTCTTCACCCACACCTGCAAATCTCACACACATTTGCCACCACCTTCCCCTCTTCCTCTGCCTTGTTTTTGTCTCAATTATTCATGAATGGTATATCACCTTTGCCCCTGCCCTTCTCAACTCTTCAAACAAAAGAAAAAATTGAGGAGCAGAGGACCAAGATTTGTCACATTTTGCTTTCATCATGAATTATCTTAGAACCAAAGTTTAAGTAGAAAGAAAACTTACCAAAAGAACACCCCCACTGAGGAAGTCTAGTTTTCACCAGTTGCAAAAGACTCAGCAACGATGACTTCCAAATGGAATTACATAGAGACCAACAGGAATAAAGCAAATAGGATAGGGCTGTTTTTCAACCCGTTCTATGGAAATTTCATGGTGATCTGCCCAAAGTACCTTTCCTGACTCATATAGCAACTACATCACAGATTTTCAACAGCTACTCCACAGACCAATGTTGGTCATCGGGTGCAAAAAAAAAAAAAAGGTTGAAAATCATCAGTTACATCACAGTATATCGGTGTGGACTGGTGATGGTTCATAGGTGCAAAAAGGTTGAAAAAAACTAGGATAGGGAGTTTAGGGCTCTAGGTAGAGCAGGCCAAGCGATGGGAAAATTGAAGAAGTAAGCGCTTGAAGACTAACAGTTGTGGATGTGTAGTTATCATTCCTTTCACATCTCGATGCACACCAAGTTTGCTGCACCTCATAAGCTCTATACTCAGATATGAATGCTTTAGCACTGAGCCTGTCATCTGTCTTTCTCTCCAGCTGCCATTCTGTACTGTGTTCATGTAGTGTTCCCCTTCCCTGACAAGCCCATGGAAATCTTAATTTCCATCCCTTAACTCCCCTTCAAGTCTGAGAGTTAGCTATATTCCTCCGGGAAAAATTATCACCTCTGACCTACTAGAGCCTAGTAGTATAGTCAGTCCCAACCTTGGCAATACCTTGAACCCAAAAATGATCTGTATTAGACTTCTTATGTCAGTGCCAATGGTTTGCTGCTGACTGGAAGATTATGGATTTCCTCCAGCAATGAGCCAGCCTGAAGGTTTGCCCTTTCTGTCTTTCCTGCCTTGACCAAACCCAGAAGGAGAACTGTGAGACTAAGGGAACAGTCAATGCATGCTGGCCTGGGTTTTCATCCTTTTTGCTTTTATATCTTTGAATCTCATCTTTTCCTGCAAGCCTCTTTGAACTGAACTAAGGGGATTGTAATTGGAGGGTTCACTTGAGGACAGTCTGCCTGCTTGTGCTATTAAAGTCTTAAGTGAAAATAAAAGAATCCCTGGAAGATCATTTGAGGTGTGCGGGCTGAAGAGCTATACTTGACCCTTGAAGCAAAGATGAAGTGGTGCCTGCAATGTGCAGGGAAGACATGTGTTCATTGAAACTCTGAGCCTTCCCTCAGCTAATGCTCCACTTGATGGATTTAAAACAAACAAAATAGAGCTGGAGCAATAGTACAGAGGGGTAGGGCACATGCTTTGTATGTGACTGACTCAGGTTCGATCCCCAGCACCCCATATGGTCCCTGAGCACAGGGCTAGAAGGAGCCCTGAGCAATGCCAGGGGTGGCTAAATGGAGTAAGTAAAACAAAATAGGGGGGCTGGAGCAATAGCACAGCGGGTAGGGCATTTGCCTTGCACACGGTCAACCTGGGTTCAATTCCCAGCATCCCATATGCTCCCCTGAGCACCACCAGGGGTGATTCCTGAGTCAGAGCCAGGAGTAACCCCTGTGCATCGCTGGGTGTGACCCCAAAAGCAAAAAAAAAAAAAACCAAAAAACGAAATAGGGAGCTGAGAGATCACTCAATGGCCAGAACTCCTACTTTGCATGTGGGAGACCAGGGTTCAAACACCCTCTCAGCCCCATTATTACTGCCCCATTATTACTGAGTATTATTTGAAGGACACCTGAGCACAAAGCCAAGATTAGCCCCAGAGCATTGCCTTCAGACTTAAAAGTAAATCAAATAAAAGAGCTGGAGAGAGGGCTACAAGCATGTTTTCCAAGAAGGAGGCCTGGGATTTATTTCCAGTACCACACAGTCTTCCTGAGCACCACAGGGAGTAACCTCTAAGCACAGAGCTGGGAACAGTCCCCCAAACAGTGCCAGGTGTGACCCCACAAAAAATAAGTAAAATCCTTCAGTCTTAACAATAAGCTTTCATAGAACTTTGTATTCTCCAAGTTACTTTATCTCCTTTCTTCCCTGAAGGTACAATGCCCCTATGAGGCAAGTGGATATTATCCCCAATGTACAGATACAGAAACTTAAAACAGGAAAGAAAAAAAAAGATCTGATTCTTCCTAAGGTAACAGCAGAACCAACTAGCACTGAAGTCTTCTAAGTCAGTCCAAACCTAGTTTGTACCACAATTTTCACATTCATTCAACAGATACTTAATGTGCTAGACTCTGAGATAGCCGACAAGCCGGCCTGACACCTGCCCCTGTGGAACGGAGCACAGTGACAGTATGGAAGGCAGTATCTGGTATCACAGCCTTGGTGTTTAGTCAGAGTGAGAATCAATGAACCTCCTTTCACTATCCAGACCTAGATTAACACAGCATACTTCATGGTTCCATCTGGATCTGACACATGCCAACTGCCTCAGCTGAAGCCTTCCCTCCTGAAGCTACCTCAGCTCAACTCCCTGGGAGCAACGCCAGGGCCCCCCACTTACCTGATGTCCAAATTGGTTGCAAGGGAAGCCGAGAACCACCAGGCGCCGGGGAAAGCGGCATTGCAGCTCATTGAGTTGGGTGTAGTCCCGTGTGGTTGTGCCTCAGAGAGAGGCCACATTCTCAATGAGCACGGCCCTGCCTCGGAAGGTATTGAAATCGATCTTTTCCCCGTCCAGGCTGATGGCACTGAGGTCGTAGAAGGACTTGGCAATGTAAGCCATGGTGCCTCGCAGAAGCCTAGCAGACAAGAGTGGCAGGAGCGTAGAACCCGGGCTATTAAAGAGGTGGGGATGAAGGAGGAGCTTGCGGGTGGGGTCAGGGAAGCTGTGAGCATCCCAGGATGACTTAGCAAAAACCCACCTGGGCTCTTCCGAGCAACAGGTTGCTCCCCTGTTTACACAGGTCACCTGAACAAAGCCACCTCCTGCCCCACCCTGCAAGTCCCAGGGCCAATCTGATATCTGTAGCAGACATGAATAATTGACTGTTCTGGGGGAAACTAGAGCCCCAAAGGTCAGTGGGGAGGAAAAAACGGAGGGAGGGAGAGAGGCAGGACTGACGCCTACCTGCCCCAGCAAGTCGCTTTCACTTGGCACAGTCATTTATTGAGTGTGTGCTGGGTGCCAGTCTCTGGATGGTGCAATTGAGATCTCCCAGATGAGGAAGAGAATTGGGGTATCTGTCCCCTTCACTCAGGCTCCCACTTGAACTATGGACAGTGCGTGATTTTCTGAAATAGTCCCCTTCAGAGCCTCAGCTGGTACCAGGCCCAAGCGACGCAGTTGATCCCCAGCAGTCTTCCAGTGCCTGATGTTTCTCAGCCTGGAGAGCATTATTTGTCCTTTCCCCAGCTCTGGGTTCTTACACAGTAGACACCCCCCCCCCCCCACACACACACACACCCATCCCATCTCTTTAGGGTCACAACAGGCTGAAGCTGTGGGAATGAGGAAGGGAATCCCAGGGCAGGTGGCCAATCTAGTGGGGAGAGATTCACCTGGCTCTTCTCACGCAAGGGACCAGTCCCAAATGTTTCCTAAAGGGCCCTGGCCTGGTCCTTCCTTAACCTGTATAGGGAGTTGAGGGGACTGTGGCTCCAGCCCCAGTCAGCCCACCCCGGGCATGCAGAACCAATTGCAGGACCCCTACCAATCTGCCAAGGGCTGTCAGGGGAGTTCACCCCCGCAGGCCTACAGAAACAGTAGACCTTATGCTTTCCTCTCTTCTTCACAGCACCTGCCAACTCAATAGATGATTTCTTTGGCCTCACATGCAATGCTTAGGGCCCCAGGAATTCTGGTAATACTTGATTCAGAAGTGCTGAACTCCATCAGGGCCATCCTGGATGTGATGTGGTACCACCAGAGCAACATCCAGCAGTGCTCAGGGGGCCATGTGGAACTCAGGAATATGCACTCTAGTCCCTTGAGTTAGCTCTCGAGCCCCAGCAATTTAGTTTTTCCCCAGACTTCTGCGTTAATGGAACTGATCATTAGATTTTTCCTGGCTTTGGGATCTGAAAATAAAAAGTCACCAAACATTTCTGAAGTGTTCACAGGTCCTTTGGGTACTCTCACTTGAAGCAGAGACTAATTGAAATTGGTGGGGGGGGGGGCGGGGGGGAGCTGGTCTTCAGACCATGATTAGTTGAGATGCTAGAGGGGCTACTTAGCCCTCAAGTCTCCATCTTTTGAGGCCTGATCCAGGGCTGTTTATAGAACACACTGGAAAGGGCATGTCCCCACAGGCTGCTCCCTAAAAAGTAAGCCTCCATTACCTAAGTGGGAATGGAATTTGTAGCCATTAGGAGTGGCAAGCAAGGCACAAAACCAGAGTCCTCTGCTGAGACTGGTTGGGTGGAGTTCTTAGAACAGCCAACAAATCTCCCTACTGAGCCAAATCCACAGTATGTGGCCCTGACAAGAACCAAACTTTGACATGATTTGTCTACAAGTCTCAAGTGTCTCCAGACCTCTCTAAGCTCCCAGACACCTCTTCTTGGCTGCCTTTTTTGCAATCTGTCTCCTGCAGAGTTGTGGAAGTTCCGAGCAGTGGGGTACAGTTCCCCTAAGCCACTCTTATCCCTAGGTATGTACAATTCATTCTCCTCTGGGTCACCCAGCCTCTCCCCTCTCACAGTTGAAGAGAATTGCCCAGATATCTCAAAGACCTATCTCCAGTATAACCTCATACTCACCCTCTTTTCAGCAGCTAGTAACTTTGGACTGGGACGAATTTAGTGTGTGGTTACCATGGTTTTCCATGGGGACAGTTGTTATTCTGGAAACTGCATGAGCTTAGCAGACAGAAAAGCCTGTGTCAGTGGTTCTCAACTCTGCTGGCAAATGAGAATTGCTTGCAGAGATTGCTTGCTTTTAGAGAAAACTTCACCACCCTCCTCCCCCCTCAGGAGAGTTCAATTCAGTTGTTGTAAACCTGATTTTGCCAGTTATTTGGAGTCCTTAAGAAAATCCATTTTGCATTGCCATGGATGGAACCCAAAGCCTCATGCATGCAAAGCACACACACTCTCTACTATGAGCTACCTCCAACCCCAAGCAAATACTTAAATTAATTTCTCATTGGTATGATTTGACATATTATTAGAAATCATCCTTTGATTTACCATACTATAAAATTCCAGGACTAGATTAAGGTTATGTGATTAAGACTCACTGCACTCATCTGGTGGTAAGTTTCTAACCATCCCAACACCACGAAGTCCCCAACAAGATCTCCACTCCTACCTTTGTATCTTTCCCTCCAGTAACCTCCAGTAATTATCTTTCACTTCCTTATTTCACACAGTGTGATCACCTCTATTTCTATCCATCTTGTCCCAAAAGGCATGATTTGGTCCTTTGTAAAGTGAGAAAGTACTTTCAACTCCTTGGACACCTGTTTCCTCAATCTGGGTCTCGGGTATTCCCCTTCCTTGTCTCATGTAGCTGATTATAGGGATGGAGGAAACCGAGGCTTATTGGTAAATTCTTCCTTCTTTATCCTGTTCTCAGTTTCTTCCATCAAATTTGTAGCCAAAGTATAGTATGGAAACTCCTTTGTCCCTGAGATTGCGGTCTGCCTTGCTCCATGGGGTATTTGATCACAGGGCTAGAGAGAAATAAATAACAGCTTCATCCCAGCTCCTGCCTTCAGGAAGGCTTGACAGGTTCCAACCCATTTGAAGGAGAAAGCGTTATGACTCTCAGACATAGATACAGCATCTTCCCAGGGATGCACTACAATCTCCATTTTCATAGAAGTATGTAGTTTATAATTGATAGGGGTGTGTGTGTGCGTGCACACTTTAGGTACACAGAAGTTACTGGACCTCTGCCACCAGCAAAGTGTCAACCGGCTCCATCTATTCCTAGGAACTTGCCTGCCCCCTCTCCCTCACACACTGATTGCACAACTATGGTTCTGTTGTCAGAACCAAGGGTTTGTTCTCATTGGACTCTCCAACTTTCCAGTCTTTTCTTTGTTCCTTTTCTTTTTGTATGTTTTTAATTTTTTTTTTTATTTTGGGGCCACACCTGGTAGTGCTAGGGACTACTCTCAACCCTGCCCTGGGGTGGAACTTGGGGGGTCATGAAACTCAAGGAAACAAACCTGGGCCTCCTGCATGCTTTGATGCTCTCAGCCCATTTAAAATCAGTGTGCGTATGGGGTGTGTGTGTGTGTGTGTGTGTGTGTGTGTGTGTGTGTGTGTGTGCGCGCACGCGCCACTTCCATGGTCATTTTGCAGCCTCTTCCCGACCCCTGCCCTCCCAAATCCAAGGTCTACAAGAGGCCCACACTCAGGGAGTCACACAGCAGCAGTACCCGTGGTTGGAAATTGTCTTTATTCTGTAAACATCTGGTTAAAACAGAGGATCCCGCTCACAGGGCAGGGGCTGGAGCCGAGCCAGAGTCTACCCTTCACCAGGAGGGGGCTGGAGGCAGGCAGCAGCCCAAGTTGGGGTCAGTGTCCATCAGGGCAGCAGGCGCAGTGCGGAGAGGGCAGGCAGGAGGCCCAAGTCACGGCCCAGGCCACCTTTCGGCTGGAGAAGTCAGCAGCGAGAGGCGGAGCCTGGGGCTTGACAGGCACAGCTGCTGCCGTGCCCTGCGGTGCTCCCACCATCCCCCAGCTGTGGCCCCCATCTGTGGGGTCCACCAGGCCCTGACATTGGTGCTCTCCCTTCCGGAACCTCAGGGTTGCAGACACACTCCTTTCCCGCCAGGCCCAGGGAAGACTGCAGGGCTGATCCACAGGTGGGCTCCCAAGCCTATAACTGCCCTTTCCCAAGTTTGGAGGTGGCACATAGGGCCCCAATATCCAAGACCAGCATGTGTCTAAACTAGCCCTGACCCTCTATTCTGGGGCTCCCCGTCCTCAGTGTAGACTCATGCTCTCTTGATCCTGCGCTTCCCTCCCTGGGGCTCTGGAGCCTTATCCTATGTTGATTTGGGTTCTTGGATCCTGTATGCTGACCGCTGGGGCCTGGGGGGTTGTCTCAACTCCAGCCCCAGCCAGGCTCTGTAGCCCACACACCGCCCAAGAGGGATGCCCTCGGGGGCACACAGGTGCTCCTCCCTGAGAGGGCCTCCTTCAAGCCTCTCTCCAGGGGAAACTCTTGTTGCTTGTTCTGTAGCACAGAGCTGTGGAGGAGGGTATGGCCCATTGCAGTCGGGCCCCTGCTGGAGCTGAGGGGCTGGAGGCGCTCTTGGGCTTGGAGGTGGGGGTGCACCATGCAGGCGTCCCCACTGTCCTTGCTCTTCTCCCAATCCCTGTCCTCAGGGCAGCCCTGCGAGCTGGAGGCTGCACTCTGGGAGACACAGGGAGCAGCCTCTTACCTAAGACATGAAAGAAGGGGACCCCTTAAACTAGCCATCCCTGGCTGCAGCCCCACGCCCCTCACCTGGTAGGCACTAGGCCTCCGTGTCCAAAGACTCCTGCCTTCCTGTGCTGCGTTCTGAGCTCACCAGTCTCGCCCCCCAGGGGCACCCCTGAGTCCCTGCCAGGCCTTCCGACCTGGGGATGTCTCGGAACACGGCAGGCAGCCCAGGAGGGGAGAAACGGTGCGTGTTTGCTGCGTGGGAGGTAGAGAGTGGAGGTGACTTGGTCCCAGCCACCCCTCGTCATTTATTTTTCCTCTCTGAGCACAGTCCCCCCGAGAAGCAGGTGGGCAGGCAGCCACACAGGGCCAAAGCTGGGGTTTGGGCAGGGAGTGGGACTACAGCCCCAGGTTCAAGGAGCCCCAGTATGGAGGTTCCTTCCTCCCTCCAGGATCCCAGATCATTGGGGATGGTGAAGGGGGCAGGACGGGGAGAAGCACCCTGTCACCTTGGCTCCCACCCTGCCCCCAAGCAGGACAGAGACTGGGACAGCCCTAAGAGACCCAGTCCGCTGGCTCGGATGGGGTTAGAAAGGAAGGGAGGGAGGGAGGGAGGGAGGGAGGGAGGAAGGAAGGAAGGAAGGAAGGAAGGAAGGAAGGAAGGAAAGAAGGAAGGAAGGCGCTGCACAGGAGGCCACCCAGCAGGATGCAGGGAGTGGGCCAGGGGCTTGGACACAAACCAGTGGCGGAGGAGGAGAGAAGTCGCACCGAGAAAAGCCGAGCCAACACGCAGACTGTCCGTGCAGCTCAGGTCTCGGCTCGCAGCACACTTGGGGGGGAGGGCGGGGGGCGCAGAGCAGGCTGTAGGACGGGCTCTGGGTGCAGGGGCTGTGGGCAGAGCTGCTCTGGGGCGAGGCGGGGAGTAGCAGGGTGACAGTGAAGGGAGGGCCGGGCAGAGCCCCCCATCCCCCCGCCACAGGCTCCTGGTGGGATGGGGCTGGTGTGTTTGCTCCTCACAGGACCCTCAGCACCAGCAGGTCTTTGAAGAGTTCACTGGGGCTTCCGGTTTGCCCTCTTCCTCCTCCAGCTCTGCCAAGGCCACCTCATTGCTGGCACGTGTCCGGACACCCTCCAGCTCCTTGCGATGGGCCTGCAGCACCAGCTCCGTCAGCCGTGTGAAAGACTGGGGGATGGAGGACACAGGTTAAGTCTGGTCACCCCGTACGTAGCTGCCCGAGGGTGGGGCTGACTCGGCTCCTGCTTTTATGTGATGTGCCTCCTCCCCCCACCCTCAGCCTCCAGGGCCCAAGCGCTAAATCTCACCTCTTTGATGTTTTGGTTGGTACAGGCACTTGTTTCATAGAAGTCCATGCCGTACTCCCTCGCCAGCTGTGGGAGAAGCACGGCTCTGAGTGGGAGGCTGGGTGGCAGCTCTGAGTGGGAGGCTGGGAGGCTGGGAGGGTCTCTGGCAGTTCCAGAGCAGGCAATCTCCCAGCGGAGATAGGGCCCCACCAGCAAAGGCCAGCGAAGGACTGGGGGAGGCCCCACAGATGCACCCCCCAACACCTCTCCATTTATGTGTCTGCATACACACACAACTCACTCATACCACTCACTCACAGGCACACACATGCACTCATACATGCACACCTACTCAAACACACACAAGCTCACATGCACATAAGCGCATGCATGGACACATTCACATGTGCAGACATATATGAACACATGCACACATATGTGTACACACTCACATGCACACATATACTTACATGCACACACTCACACACACGTGCACGCACACACATACTCACAGGCAAACACAGTGGCTGAGGAGTCGCTGAGGCCCACACACTTGACTGGCTGCTACTTGCCTGCATGTGACCTGGGACAAGGTGCTCAGTGTCCCGAGGCTGCAGCTCTATGGTGGGTTCAAGGGCCGGAGAGTCTCACCACCAAGGAGGTGGGATGACTGAGTAGAGATGCTCATCTCAAGCCAGAGCTCAGCACGGGGCCGTGCATACAGGCGCACTCAAGAGATACTATTCTCCTGGCTGGGTTCGCCTCTCTTGTCAAATTTTTCAATCACCATGAATTCTTTTTTATATCAAAAAGAACCCATTTCATCTGAAGTGCCAATGGAATGATACCATTGACTGAAGAGGGAGAGAAAAGTGTTTTTCTTTTCTCTTTGTTCTTTTTTTTTTCTTTTAGGGCCACACCTGACTGTGCTCAGCTGTCCCGCCTGGATGCTACTTGAACCCTGCAGCCTGTCCCCTATCTCCCTGAACCCCCCAAAAAGCACAGGGGGTTCATCAGAGTGGGGCTGGCTCTTGGCTCCACCTCCCGGGCCTTCAGCCTCTTTCTGCTGTTTGCACGTGTTCTCAAGACCAGCCATCCTCGCTGCCCCCAGGGTCCCCCATGGCATCTTGTCTTATGGACCATGTCCAGGCTAAGGCCAGGGCTGGTGAGAAGGCAGGAAGAGGGGAGCAATGCCTTGATGCCGTTATTAAATTGGGCAGTTGTAGTCGTCTCTCTTCATTAACACTAAGTGACTAATGATGTGCCCTTGAGGGGCCTGGGCCTGGGTCAACTGCTGTCCAAGAGGTCTTTTGTTTGAGGATGGGCCCCATATTTCGTGAAGAACAAAAAGCAAACTCTTACAGGCAGCGCCTTTCCCAAGCCTCTGGGTATGACAGGAGGTGACTGGACCACGATAAAGGAACCCCGGACTGGCTCCACTTGGCTCATGCCAGCCCACTCCACTCACCTGCTGACCCTGTTCTCTCCCCACCTGCCGTTTCTGCTCTTCGTCGGCCTTGTTCCCTATAAGGATCTTCTGGACACCTTCAGGTGCGTACTGTAGACAAAGCATAGGTAGAATGTTGACTGACTGAGGCTTCACCCACCATCTCCCCACAGTGCAACCAGCACAGGCCTCCAGCTGACACCAGGCCTAAGAGCCCAGGGACAGAGGAGGCAGGTGCAGGTGTCCCCAAGGACAAGGGCTGCCTCTGGGGTCCTAGCAAGGTCATGGGGACCACTTAGGGCAGAAGACACTGGTGACTACTGACATTTCCTGGGCCTGGACAGTCGGTATCTGAGCTGGAAAGGACATTGTATTTGAGTCCGGTGGCTCATGAATAAATGAGGAAGGGGGCCTCAGAGTTCGAATGTCTTGCCCAAGATACCACAGCACAGCCACAGACCAGAAGCCCAGCATCACAATTCCACCTGGTCCCAAAATTTCTGGGAGGAAGCTGCTTGCAGAGCAGACTTGGACCTGACATGTTTCCAATGGAGAAATGGCTGGGAGGCCCAGCAGGGAAGAGCGCGGCAGGCAGGGTGTTGTAGCATCTTCCCTGTGTCATCAGGGAGGGCTCGATCTGGGGTGCCACTGGCATGGCTTCCTGGCAGCACTCAGTCGCCACCCTGCCAGCATCTGCCCGCCCTTCCCACCTGGTGCTCCCTTTGCCTCCCGCTCCGAGGCGTCTTCCCCACCCTGCTCCGCCGCGGCATCTCCTACCTCATCCACATCACTGACCCACTTCATGATGTGCTGGTAAGAGCGCTCGCTGCTGATGTCATAGACTAAAAATATTCCCTGGGAGAGGAGAGAGTGACAGGAGTGGTGAGAGCCGCACCCTAAGCCGGCACACTCACTGGCCAGAGGCGGGCATGGCCCCTTCAGTGCTGCTCTACGCTCCCTTCTCCTTCTCCCAGTTTAGCACAAGGACCTCTCACCCCCTTGAAACATCTCCTGCTCTCTCAGATTCCCCAGCCCCAAATACACACACACACACACACACACACACACACACACACGCACACATGCACACATGCACCGCACTGCTGCTTCCCTGATCCATGATGGGACTCTAAGGCTTTGATCTAGGTTCCCAACCTAGGTGGTAGGTGGAACTGGGGATTAGGGTAGGGGATCAGCCCATCATGAGGGAATAAGAGGTGAATAAGGGATCCATGGACCAATGGAAGATTGTCCAGGGGCTCCCCTCTTTTGCAGGCAGTCAAGGGCTCTATTTCAGGGTTCAGCAGCAGTGATATCTCAAACACCCAGTGCGTGGCAGTTTAGTGGCAGCATCCCACCTGTACACCCTGAAGACAAAACCTCACCTGGGCCCGACGATAGTACTGCTTTGTGATGGTCTGATAGCGCTCCTGGCCCGCTGTGTCCCTGGAGCAGAAACCATGCCTCAGGAAAGTGTGGAAGCAGCGGGGAAGGGAGGAGCAGAAGCCCAGAGACCATGGACGCTTACGGGAAAAACTGGGATGCTTCAAGGTGAAACATCAGGGGAGTTTTAGCTTCCTCCCTTACAAGCCATTCCCCTCACTGCCTCCCCTGACAATGGAAACAGGCCTGGCTCTGTGCAGAGATGCTGCTCAAGGCAGCCTGTGGGACCTGCAGAGACCTCAGTTATATGAGCACCAGAAATCCCAACTGTACCTGGGCCTGAGACAACACTCTCTAGCATGCAGCCACAGTGGCCAGTTTGGCTGGCCCTTCACTGTGGGACCTCTGAAGACAGACAGCTCTCCTGGCAAAGGTAGCAGGCCAGAGCCACAGCGGCCCTCTGTGGCTGAGGTGGGAACTGCACCGCACTGTTCTGAGGAATTCTGACCATGGTCCCTGCCAACAATGATGGGGTGTAGTCCCCTCCTCCCTTTCAAGCCACCTGCAATGCAGCACAGTCCCTGGGCAAAAAGCTTTAATCTCAGCCAAACCCACCAAGGGGAAGTTTGATAATTCCTTCTCATTCCTGACTTCTGGTGACTGTGGTCATTCCCATCAAGCGGCTCCCGGGAGCAAGGTCCATGAAACTGCCTCTGTGCATACAAGAGGGGCTCATACCTCAGGCCAAGGGTCTGTGGGCTTCTGCATCTGATGGTGGCAATTAGGGGCCATCCCTGGGCCTCTCCTCCCCACTCACCAAATCTGTATCCGCACTTTGATGCCATCCACCTCTATGGTCTTCATCTTGAAGTCAACACCTGGGGAGAAGGAGAGCAACAGTGAAAGGCCGGGGGGGGGGGGGGGGGGGGGGATGGGGGCGGGGGAGGGGTGGTGCTGCAGGTGAAGGCTATAGCCCAGGGAACACACCCTGGAAAGGGTTTCCTGTGACTGTGGTCTGGCAGAAAGAAGGCATGGGGTAAGAGTCTTCCAGAACCAAATCAGACCCTCAGAAAGTCTTTAGGTTGAAGGATCCCAAGGGATTCTCAAGAGGTCCAGGGACTCTACTGGAAATTCAGTGGCTCAATGCAAGGGCCTGCGATATGGTGCTGCTCAGGCCCTGTGGTGCCAGGATTACCCGGGTCACCCTGGCAGTGCCCAGGGGCCTGTAGGGCTGCTCCCAGTGATGGTCAGGTCTGGGCGTCAGAGCGCCAAGGATGGAACTGGGTTAGGCACATGCACCCTAACTGCTGTACTAGAATCTGGTCTCATCACCCAGGGGTTTTGTTTTGTTTAGTTTTGTTTTTTAGGTTTGTTTGTTTTTGCTTTTTGGGTCACACCCAGTGATACAAGGGGTTACTCCTGGCTCTGCACTCAGGAATTACTCCTGGTGCTCGGAGGACCATATGGGATGCTGGGAATCTAATCCAGGTCGGCTGCATGCAAAGCAAATGCCCTACTCTCTGTGCTATCGCTCCAGTCCCTCATCCCCAGGTTTTGAATGGGCTTTTCCTTGCCTCCTTAAACTGAGAGCAGCCTCAAGTAAAGAGGGCATAGAGGGCGTAAGAGAAAGCAGGAGAACCCAAGCCATGGCTGCCCCCTGTGGTACTCAAATGTCTCACCCTGCTCCCATGTGAAGCATGTACATCTGGAGAGAACAGTTTATCCTGCCTAAAACTTTGGTCCCTGTACCTAGCGCTCTCTCTCTCTCTCTCTCTCTCTCTCTCTCTCTCTCACACACACACACACACACACCCAGTGATACAAGGGGTTACTCCTGGCTCTGCACTCAGGAGTTACTCCTAGCAGTGCTCGGGGGTCGGCTCCATGCAAAGCAAATGCCCTACTCGCTGTGCTATCGCTCCAGTCCCTCACCCCCAGGTTTTGAATGGAACTACACAGAAAGTTCCAGAAGGTCCCAGAGGGCCTGTGCACATAAGCACACACAGAAGCAGACACATAAGCCCTGCAGCAAAGGCAGGACTGATCCAACCCAGTGTGTTGGAAATTGAGCACCAAGCCTGGCCCAGTGAGGAGAAGGCTCATGGTTCCAGTCCTGATGACACTGTGTCTGGGCCTGAGCTTGAATCCTGACTCTAGTACTAAACTAAGCTATGAGCAGAGCCACTGGCATCTCTGAACCTGTGCTTTTGACTCAACAAAAAATGGGGACATTATCTATCACGTTGGAGAAGGACCAAACACATGGTAGATATTGCACAGCACAGCTGCCCTCCTGGCCCAGGACTTTTGGCTGGGATTGGTGCCTGAAAGTGTCAATCAGTGACCAGGGGAGGGGAGAGGCAGGGAGTGTGCATCATAGGCTCAAGCTGTTCATTCCCAGTGCTGGAGGAACTGAGCTCCACAAACTACAGGAAACAAAGGGAGTTGGCAGACCAGTTCAGATCTAAGAGGAATCTGTAGAAAGCTGCAGCAGGAGAAGCCAGCACCCCCAGTGGTAGCTTCTGAGCTGGCACCTGAGTGATGGCAGGGATGGAGACAGAGCTGTCTGGGGTTCTTGTTGGTGTTTTGTTGTGGTTTAGGTAACATGATTACAACAGTGCTGACGTTTATGCTTTCCGTGTACCGAGTTACTACACCTCATCACCACCAAAGGGCCAAAGACCTGTCACAACTGATGTCCTGATGTCACAATATGCCCTGATGTCATCTCGTTTACCTCTTCCTTGTTTTCTCCTATCTTCTTCCCTCATCACTTAGTAACCTCAGTACTGTGGTTAAAGCCCAAGGCTTTGTCATCATTAGATATCGTCCATCCCTTTCTTTGCTTCTTTATATACCGCATCTGAGTGAGATCATCTGGTATTTTCCTGCTGATTTATTTTGCTTAACATGATATCCTCTAGCTCCAGGCAAGTCAGAGCAAACAGCAAGATTTGACCTTTTCTCATGGCTGCACAGTATTCCATTGTTTATATACCAGTGTATGTGTGTGTGTGTGTGTGTGTGTGTGTGTGTGTGTGTGTGGTGCCATTACTGGTTGTTTCTAGTCAGTCCTGGCTTATTGCACAGGGATTACTCCAGCAGAACTTGGGAGACGTCAGTGCTGGGAACCGAACCTGGGCCCTCTCATGTACCGCCTGTGCACTGACCCTTTGGACTCTTCTACAACTACTTCATCCACTCATTTCTCATTGGACACTCAGATTGTTTCCATATTCTGGCTATTGTACTCAGCACTGCAATGAACATGAGTGTGCACAAATCTTTTTGAGCTGTTTTTGTGTTCTTGATATAGATTCAGTAGAATCACTGGGTCATAGGAAGCTATTTTATTTTATTTTATTTTCTGAGAAGTCACCTTAACGTTTTCCATTGAGGTAGAACCAGGAGATGTGTTTATGCCCACCTCTCTAGCCCTAACTGTGCTTGGGTACTGTGTCTAGTAATTCAAGAGCTGTTTCTAAGCTAAATTAAGGTGTTTCTAAGTTAATTAATCTAAAGTCTGAGGGGGCCAGGGAGATGGTTCAAAGCGGCTGGCACACATGCTAAGCATTCAGAAGTCCTGGTTCAATCCTGATTGGTGCTAGGCTGAGTAGCACCATCACCAAAAGTGCCCTCTGGGCCCCCTGGAGCATAATTTGGAAGGCCCTTACCCCCCACCCCCCAAAAAAAGCTGAACTCTTTGAGCACTTCCTGGAAACAGGCACTTGGTCATCATGAAACAATTTTCAGGTGGGAAATCATGGTAAAGGCAGGACTACATCCAGCACAAAGGGACTAGAAACCTCAGCAACAGCCTCATTCCAGCAGGGCATTGGCTCTGCAGCAGGTTATCTTCCCCTTATCCTGACTCCCAGGCTCTACACAAGCACAGACTGAAGTCATCTCCCCCTTTCATCATCCAGAATAACCACCATTGAATAGGGCTCTTGCCTTACATGCAGCCAATCTCGGTTTGATCCCTGCCACTCCATCCCAGTATCCCATCTGATCTCTGAAGAGCCCCATCAGAGAGAGAGAGAGAGAGAGAGAGAGAGAGAGAGAGAGAGAATAAATCCTCAGGAGCTGTGGGAAAGGGCACCTATCTGCCTTGCAAGCCTAGTGCTATGAACTTCTCTGAGCATGGAATCCCTGCGATTCTGCTCTCTGAGACCTGGTACAACTTCGTGTGTTTTGTAATAAATCTAGTTCATCCTCACACGCAAGCCTTTCAGGGCCTTGCTATTTGCCAAGTGGCCCTAAGGGTGGGAGGGGGGAGCTAGAAGGCTTTACTTTATTTCACAATTTCTAAGAGAACTTAACCTCTGGCAGCGCAGAGACAGAAAGGATAGACAGGTCCTGGCTTCACAGGGCTTAGTGGAAGGGAACCAAACCCAGAGAGGTGAAATAGCCAACCCAGCCTTGGGAATCTGGTAAGACACGCAGGAGCCCAGCAAGCCCAGAGATACCACTGAGGCTGGCACACAGGCTTCCCTGTCCCTTGGAGGAGTGGGAGGTACATTGGCTGGCACAGAACCTGAACTAGGCAGCGGTCCTGCCTCCCTGCAGGGTCCTGGAAGGGTTCAGCAGGGATGAAGGCCCCCCCACTTGCCAGGGGCTGCTCTCTACAGAGTGAAAGCCTCTGTGAGAGGCAGGGCGGTGCAATTCCAGCCCTTCTCCCACCCTCTCTTTGTGTGGCCAGAAACTGGGCAGGAAATTCCCCCCACCCACACCCCCCCCCCCCACCTTCCAACCCAGGCCTTACTAACCCCAGAAAAAACCTTCTGGAACGTCTCTGGGAAGTAAATGCTCCCCTGTGTGCTATTCATATACACACATACATGATGGAAGGGAAGAGTAATGAAGAAAGATGAACAGCCCAAGTGGAACCAAAAACTTTCTCCTTTCAGTTCCAGCACAGCCTGGCTGGCACTTGGCTCAGGCCACTCTGCTCCCTCCCCTGCCACCGCACCTGTGCCCCCAACCCTGCTGGTCTCCCCCTGCTGAGCTCAGAGGGCAAAGTCAATCTCTGGCCTCCCTTCAGCTTCCTGCTTCCTGACCTCCTGGGGCTCACAGCTGCTCAGCAAACAGTCATGGAAAACCTGCTTTGAGTCACATGCCTCAAAGCCACAGATAACCCCAGGACCCAGACTTCTTGCTCCCCAGGCCCCTCAGGGGCCCCTCCTCAGTCTCACCCCTCTGATGCTCCATCTCCACTCCCAGGCTCTCCTTACTCTGACTGTTCTCAATCTTTTTAGGGGGGCGGGGAACGGGAAGGGGGAGCTGTATGGGTATATGTCAGAGACTGAGCCCCAGTCCTCACACATGTTCTCGGCCACTGAGCTCTATCTAACCACTCACACTGGCCTTTGGCAGACTATAAGTGGGGTCACTCCCATGGAGCAGCTTTCTCTGTGGGGGATGTCTCTTGGGGAAGGGCAGGGGAGAGGGAGTGTGTGCTGGAACCTTCCAGAAGACAGCAGTAGCATTGGGTGTACCTTCTGTTTGTCCACTTAGGTAGATGGGGGTGGAGGAAGGTGTGGGGGCACTGATTGATTTTTTTTTTCCACTGAAAAGGGGGCAGAAGGCCAAGAGAAGTCTGGACACCTCTGGGCTACACCATTTCCAGGCAGATGCCCAGCATCAGAACCATCCCTGGGAAGGGTGCAGAGCCTGTCAGGGACGCCAGAGCCTGTGCCAGACAGGCAGTTAGGGGATCACTCCTGAGACACAGAGTGCCGAGTAACTTCCTCAGCCTCACACACCCGGTAGCTGAGCCCATGCAGGAAAAAGTCTTTCCATACTCTATGGTTGGGGTGGGGTGGGGTGGGGTGGGGTGGGGTGGGGTGGGAGGCGAGGGGTGGCAGGTTTGGGGGTT